TTACAGGACACGGGTCACCAATCACTAAATTTCTTTCCATGCATTGTCTTTCAATTTGGTATTTCTATAATCTTTTAAATATTTATCATACAGATAAGGACGACTTCGTATAAGATCGATTAAAAGTTCGTCGCCGAATTTTTCATTATTGCTCGCTTGAGTGTCATTGATGTCCTGTATGTCGTACGATGTATTATCCGTATTAAGGTAACTATTAGTATTATCACAATAATTGGAATGATCCATTTTCTCATAATCAAACTAATTGAGTCGACAGATCGTGAAAAGAGGTTATAGCGGAGAAGAAGAACAGAATGTAAAATCTGAATGCTGATTGGTAGGCTATAACAGGCTATAAGGCGATAGACACAGAATTCCAACTCGTCGGAAATTTATCGCTATCGCTATCGCTATCGTTATTCCATGTTCCTATGTGCATTGACATATGGATTCCTGTATGTTGGATTCCTCTGTTCCTATCGCTATGTCTATCGCTATCGCTATGTCTATCGCTATCGCTATTGCCTCGCATTGTGTTTAGGCCTTTATAAAGGCTCTTTAGGGGATGATATAGTTCTATTGGTAAAAAATAGGGAAGCCCTGCAGGATATGATAGGAACGTTCAAAAGATTCATGGAAGAAAAGAAACTAGAACTGTGTACAAATAAAACGGGAAGGCTCCGATTGCACACATTGCATATTGCACACATGTGTCGCTAATTGGCTAATTTATAAATAAAATATTCTCATTGATATAAAGAAGTGAAAAATTACTAGGCACCAGAGCTGATATGAGTGGTGTGTGCAATCGGGATTGTAGGCAAACGGGATCCTCCCAATAAAATTAAGGTATTGCGGTGTGTAATAGGAGAGAAAGAGAGAAAATTGAAACATGGAAATGGGGTAAAAAGGAGATTAAAGAGGTCCAGGAATTTAAGTATCCGGGTTTTATGCCGAATAGATGGGGTAACTGTAAAGATCACATAAGGGATTTAGGTAGAAAAGGTAAAATGGCGGCAAGGAAGGTCTGGGGTATAGGAGAGAGGATGTGCAGGAATGATTTCAGGAGGAGGTGGATCTTATTTAAATAGGTGCAAAGTGTTATGGCGGGAAGGATCCCGTTTGCATACAGTTCTGATTGTACACACCACTCATATCAACTGGTGCCTAGTAATTTTTCACTGTTTTGCCAATGAGATTATTTTATTTTTAAATTGGCCAATCAGCGATACATGTGTGCAATATGCGATGTGTGCAATCGGAGCCCTCCCCATTTGTAAGATGTCATGAACTAATCAGAAGAAAATGAAACGAACGAAATTCCGAATTATGATAGCAGAGAAAGGGAAAGTAATACAGTGAAGAAATCGAAGTTAGCAAGTAATAAGCTGTATTATTATTGAAAATTACATTACAAAATTACATAGGTGTTCAAATTAAGAATACGGCAGCAGTTAATGGGTGGCACCCAGTTGGACAAGGCTCAATTGGACACGAGCAACTCACAGCGCTTGAGACTACATAGCTCCTAAGCACCGGTCGCTGTGATTCGTGGTGTCCAATCGAGCCGTGGTCGATCGGGATCACTCCCAGTCAATATAGAAATTTCATGAAACTTTGCAATACTTGTTTAGTACCGTGCCGTTGAGCGATATACGTCCGTCAAAGCGTTCGCGCGACTGCTTAGTTGTGCCGCCCCTAACGGCGCGAATTTCATGCTCTGTGGTTGGTTATTTTCAAATGCTCACCGTTTGAAAACTATTGATGCCTTAAGATTTTGCTATTAACATTTTCGATTTACTTTTTCATGAGAAATGTGTACGTGCCGGCTCCTCTGGTAACTCTGGGACACCCTGTATATAGTCAACATTATATCTGGAAACACAATAGGCACAGGCAATAGGCACAGGCAACAGGGAATAACGAGCCGTCCAATCAGAGCTTTGGGGTATAAGTTCGATATTGTATCCCAGAGCTCTGATTGGACGGCTCGTTATTCCCTGTTGCCTGTGCCTATTGCCTGTGTCTATTGTGTTTCCAGCTTATGAATCCAGTAATCGCACGTGATTGGTCGTGACGTTATTATTAGCTATTTCGGCGGATAATCAACAGCAATCGAATATAAGACGCGTTATTTTGATAATTTTGTCATTATTATTAAAAAAAAAAAAAACAAGAAATGTGTGACAGTGATTTTGTGAAGGCGCAATCAGATAATCTTGCTAAAATTTCAACGGGAATGATTGCTGATTATTTTATAAATAATGAATGCTATAATGTAGCCGAATCAAGTGGAGCTAAAATAAAAAGGTAAAATAGTTAATGTTTGTTAATAATGTTCAAATACGAGATCAGTATAATAGTAATTTACCTAAATTTATTTAGTAATAATAATTGTATGTACATTCTTTACTCAAAATGCTCAGAATGTAACCTTTGAAACCTAACCTACAAAAATTATTAGTAACTCTTGTTCTTTATTGTAGATCAGGACGAGTAAATTATGGTGACTCTGCAGTTGGCTGATTGTTGTGAATATTGTCGCCTATCGCCTCTTATAATTTCTATCCACTGTTTTCTCACTTCGCCTTTTGTCATCGGTACGAAAATCTTTGTAGGTGCATTAAGGGGATGCTGGAGCGACGGTCGAAGTTAATCAAGGTCGATATTACAGGTTTTCATTTCCAATGTATAAGATGCTTACGCCCTCTGGGTTAACATGATCATGCAGGAAATTCGATCGATTAATTATCAATATTTTTATTCCGTTTCCTACATTACCATCTTGCTCAGGGACGAAACATGTATTAGGCTCGATCCCACAAATGTAAGATTAATTTTATTTTGGAAAATTTTCTAATTTTAAAATTAAGAAAAATAAACCGGGATTGAAGTTAATCTTATATTTGTGGAATCGGGCCTTAGAAATACAGTTGTATTATACACATGCAAAATATAGGCCGCGTTCCAATATACATATAACTACCACCAATACTAAAAATCTGTAATATACATAAAGTATAGATTTTTTACTAATAGTTATATCGATACGAAGCCGTAGTAGCACTTTTTTCTTACGTCCAATGCCATTTTAGGTTAGAATATATTATCAATAAATGAATACGACATTGCACATACATGATGTATCTCTTTTTGCTCTGCCTAATAAAAAGAGATAGATACTTGTAGTATTTACATCACTGACATGTCAACTTATATTCCAATATAGAAAATTGTATGTATATTGTACTATGTGAACACACACACGCACGCATTATATAAACAGATAAAAGTTACTCATGAGATAATTATGCAGATTATCTGTACGCAATATTAGAACTTTATGTATATATACATTGTATAATATGTGTGTATTCACATCGCACAAACATACATTTATAATTCTAACATTGTTGTAACATAAAAAGACATTATTAGTGAATATGAATTATAATATTTTATATGTATTATAATGTACATATACACAATAACGTACCCAAACTATAATTTTAATATTGCATATATCATTAATTCACTAACATGTCTATATGCAATAATAGAATAATATTGTGTCATTGTGTGTGTACATTATAATACACATAAAATGTAATTGTAATTCGTATTCATGAATGTCTTTTTATATACAACGTTAGAATTAAATTTTATGTGTATCATTATATATACATTATATATTATAATATAAAATTCTAATATTGTATAAAAATGGACATAGAGAATATCTGCATGAATATCCCAGCAAGAGTAATTTTTAATAATGTGTTATTGACATTATAATACACATACAATTTAACATATTACACGTATAAATATATACTGACATTGGCCTTGCCTTAGTGCCAAGACACTACCGTGTCTCCAGATCAGTAATATCTCTATATTTGAGCATAGATAACTTCTATCTCTCTTTTTGATAGACATAGCAAAAAATGGAGTAGCTACATATATACATACCCATATATACATATGTATGCAACACGTGTCCATATATTGACAATAATACATGTTACATTTTAACCTAAAATGATCTTAGCCATAGGAAAAAGTGATCCTACGACTGTGTACTGATATAGACTGCGAGTACTGAAAAAATATGTTATATACGTAACTATAGATTTTCAGTATTGACGGTGTA